TCAGGTTCTCCCTCTGGGCACTGCACTGGGTAATGCCAGGCCCAGGAGCCACCTAAAACCCCCTTGCATTTCACAGGATGTTGTGGGGCTCGGGGCTGGAGCACCGGAAGGAGATCCCCGAGAAGCCCCTAGGCAGATTCCTGGCCCCCCCAGGCCACGAGGACTAGGACCCATTCGCCCCACTCTGCCAGGCCAGTGTGAGCGGAGCCTGGGTGGCCTGTGTCCCCCGGCCCCTGCCCTGGTCCAGAGAGGGAGCAGACAGGCGCCCGCCCAGCCTCCTGAGCTGCCGCTGCCCCAAGGAGGTCTCAAGCCAGCTGCTGCTGCCTCTGCTCCTCACCCCACCCGGGGGTGTTTCTGGCTCCAAAAGGGGAAGAAAGCGCTGAAACCCGAGGAGAAGCCATCCTCAGCGATGCATTAATAGAAGCCTCCCTCAGGCCCCTGACACGTCTGGGCAGCTGCGCGGCCGGTCCAGTGTCCCTCAGCCCCAAGGCCAGCCCACTCTGGCTCAGCTGGACTCACTAAACTTAGCTTCCACCACTGCGCCCGCCACCACCCGGCCTGGCGGCCACCCGCACCCACAGGCTGCCACCGGCGGCCCAGACACCCACCGGCAGCCACCATGTCCCAGACCAAAGCGCTGAAGGTCCGCGTGACCCTCGTCTGCATCCTGGTGGGCATCGTGCTGGCCACGGTGGCCGCCGTGACAGACCACTGGGCCGTGCTGAGCCCCCGGGTGGAACAGCGGAACACCACCTGCCAGGTGGCCCACTTCGGCCTCTGGCGGCTTTGCATCAAGCGCATTGCTATGACCGACGGCAGGGACAAGCACTGCGGACCCATCTCCCTGCCTGGGGGTAACGTACCCACTCTGTCCCCACGCCCCCTCTGGGAACGTGCCCGTGGGAAAGAACAGGTTCTTTCTCCTATCTCAGTAGAGCCCCACCCAGCCCTCCTGGCCCAGGGAAGAGGACGTGAACTATGCCTGGTCGTGCTGGAGGCCAGAGCTGGCTATTTCTGTTCTGCTGAGGCTTGGGGGTCTTTTCAGCAGGGGTCTGGGCAGAGAGCACGAAAGGCTCAAGAGAGCAAATGAGAATCAGCCAGACTAGGGCTCTTGGTTCCAGTGGTGGCTTTCTGGGGTGTGTGCTGTAAAGACAGGTTGGGTGGCCCTGTGTCCCCAGGGAACCAGAAGGACCAAAGCCATGGGCCTGGCCTGGTCATCCCTCAGGCTCCAGGCTGGGGTGTAGACGCCAAGTCTACAGGGCCTGGTGCAAAAGGAAACAGCAGAGTTTCTCGTTATTACTATTCTTACTAATTCCAAGATGGCGCCAGCAGAGCATGACCCCAAGCACCGGGCTCTGGGAGGTCTCAGAGTGCAGGGCTGAGGGGCCGCGGGGTGCATGTTGGTGAAGCAAGACCTGGCTACAGATGAGCCGCCTGCTTTTTGGCAGACCCACTAGCTCTTCTGCAGGTCCTCTCACGGCTCAGCCCCTTCAGAGCCGGAGGGCACTGCCCGTTGCCTGCGCTGTGATGTAAGAGCGTGCCTGGGCTCCCTACCTGTGGCTGAACCCCACGCTGACTGCTCCTTGCGAGAACTCCTGGCAGTAGAGCCACTAGGGCTGATGCTGCACATGGAGCCTCTGCATTTAGAGCTGAGGAACGAGCCCTGGGTTCTGGGCTCTGCGAAGCATTGCCCATGACACCCCAAGATGACACCCCTAAAAGCATATGGGTGGGGTGCTCGACAAAGCAGTACACCCAGCGCTTTGCTTCCTTCTGTAAAGGGGGTGTTCCAGAGAACACCAGGAGTTCTCTGAACTCTGCTGTCAAGAAGTCACTGCTGAGTCTCTCTAAAGGCCTCACAGTCTTAGGAGAGTCAAGGGAGCCCAAACCCTGTTTACCCCACTTCTTGCCCTCCTCTTCCTTCCCACCCACTAGCCCCAGAAACCCTCACCTTGTTCACTCCCACTGGATACTTGGAAGATCTGTAAATACCTAACTGTCTTGAAAAGAGAGCCCAGGGCTGAGGGCTTAGCAAGCACGGACATAGGTTGGAGGGAGTCAGGTAGCCCAGCAGCCCAGGCTCCCCAGGCCCACAGCTGCACACACCCATAAACCATGCCTCACCCAACTAACTGCCCTGGGCAGGACAGGGTGTGGCAACACCTCCAGGCACCAGCACGCTGGTCATGGCCTGCCCACCTCGGAGGGCACCTACCTTTGAGAGCCTGGTGAGTTTACAGAGCAGCTGAGCAGGCAGGCGTGCCAAGTCTATGCAGGCAAGGGACAGAGAGGCAGGAGGTGACTGGGCCAGTTTCAGGGGACCCGTTGGCATGACCGCCTTGACCTGAGCCGTCCACCTTTATCATTCCCCATACTGCGCACACGGCTCTTCCCCGCGCCGGCTTCCAAAGTGTGTCTCTTCCCTCCTGCCTCTCCTCTCTATGAAGTGGGTCTCTTCCCCCTACCCACCTTCCTGTGCTTCCTGGGATCACTTTTTCTGGAGAGAGAAACACAGTTCCGACATGTTCTCCTATTTATTATTTATTACAACAGCAATAACAAACCTACATATAGCATTATTCGCCAAGCACTGTGTTAAGGGCTTTAAATATACTAACTTTGGATAACGTCAGAAAAAAATGGCAGGGTAAGAACTGGCAACACGCCTCTTCTCCATAAAAGCAATGAGAATGTTGGCAAAATGGTCAGGCTCAACTTCTGCAGAATTCTGGAAATATAGCCAGCTTGTGGCAGTTCAGCTTGCGCTTATTTAATAAAAATAGGTGAGTTTTAGTAAGAACCGTGAGGTTCTGGTGCTATAATTTGCTCTATTCCCATCTTCTCCTCCCCAGCTCTGTCTCAGCCTGGAAAACCAGCAAACTGCAACCCCAGTAAAAACCAGCACCCCCGTAGCTACAAGAGGGGACAGAACAGAACTGGATTTCTTACAAAACCATCTTTCCAGAGAATTCCCATTATTTGATCTGTCTTGCAGTTAATTGGAAATTCCCACTTGCAAAGTGGTCTTTGTTTGACCTGATTCTGAGCTCATTCTTGGCAACAGCTCTTGGTCAAAAGAAGACCTTTGTCAAAACTAATTAGTGACCTTGCTTTAATAACCTCAGGGGCAGTAGATAACAGTTGGGGTAGACAACAGGCTACTCAAAAAGCAGGAGAATGACGGGCCCTCCCTGGTGGCACAGCGGGTTAAAGCACAGCACTGAGAAGCTAAAGCCGCTTCCGCATGAGTTCGATCCCCGCCTACCCCGGAGGTGACCACATGGCGTGGCAGACCTCTCCTGACCCGCCCACTGCTCCCCTCAGCAGTGTACTTCGTCGATCTGCCTGTTCTGTTCCCCACTGTCTCTGGTGAAGCCTCTTGCCGCCCCTGAGCCTCTGGCCTGTACCCCAGTTCTGTATGTACAAATAAATCTTTAAAAAAAAAAAAAAAAGCAGGAGAATGACATGGCCTCAGGTGGCAGCGTGCAAACACCCTATGCATCTAGAGCAGCAAGTGCATGTATAGGAAAGACCTGAGGAAACCCCACAGCTCACCTCTGGCTTACTTTGAGATAGGAGGCTCCCAAGCACAGAACAGCTCAGGACATCACCTCAGGGTGGGGTACTGTTTCCAAGCATTTTAGGGAACCTGGGTGAGCCGGCAACCAGGTAACCGAGCAACGATGTCAACAGCTGCACGTGGCTGATTGAGAAAAAACACCAAACAAACAACAAATAGCAATAGGAACCACGGAGGAGGAGGAAAACCCATGGTCGCCATTGTATGGTTCAAACATGGTGCAGGTCGGGTGGGGAGGGGCAGAAGAGGCCTAGATATTGGACTTACTAGACAAACACTTTTTTTTTTAGATTTATTTATTTATATATACAGAACTCGGGTACGGGCCAGAGGCTCAGGGGCAGTCAGAGGATTCACCTGAGGCAGAGTAAGGAGCAGAACAGGCAGATGAATGAAGTACATTGCTGAGGGGAGCAGCAGGCAGGTCAGGAGAGGTCTGCTGTGCCATGTAGGTCACCTCTGGAGCGGGGATCGAACTCGCTCTAAAGCGGCTGCGGCCAGCTTGCAGTGCTGCATCCCAATGTGTTAAGCCACCAGGGAGGGCCAGACAAACATTTTGAAGCAATTATTTTAAATACATTCAAAGAAATAAGAGGCCATCTCTAAAGAATTAAAAAAAGATTGTAATGATGACTCATGAAGTAGAGTATCAATGAAGAGATTAAAATCCAAGAGTTAGAAAATTTAGTAATTCTAATGAAAAATTCACTGGAGGGATTCAATCACAGGTTTGAGCAAGCAAAAGAAAGAATCGATAAACTTGAAGCTAGGTCAATTGTGCTTAACAAAGAGAAAAAAAGAATGAAAAAAAAAAAAAAAAGAACAGCGCCTTAGAGACCTGTGAGACACTATCAGATATACCCACATATGCTTCATGGGGAGGAGGGGGAGAGAAAAGAACAGCATCAATATGTGAAAAATAATGGCACAAAATTTCCAAATGGGATGGAAAATATTAATCTACAAACCCACAAAGCTTAATGAACTCTGAGTAGAGATCCTCTCTGGCATATATAATCAAGCAGTTGACAAATAAAGAGAATCTCACAGGCATCAAGAAATGAGTCACCACACACAAAGCATGCTCACTAAGGTTGACAGCTGACTTTCCCCAGAAATCACAGTGGCCAGAGGCTTTGTGGTGACATCAGTAGACGAAAGCACATAATTCTCACAGACTTTCTCGAATCATTCCATCTCACAGATGGAGAAAACGAGGCACAGAGAAGTTAGGTCATTTAACCAAGGCCACCCAGCTACCATGGCAGAGCAGCTAGGATTCATGTCCAGGCATCTGTCCGTAAAACTGACCTTCTTAGTGACCTTATACTATAAACCAATCCAGGGAGGAGGTGGCTTTGTATAAATCAACAAGGTACAGTTCAGTAGACTAAAGTCTGTCAGTACCAGATATACTGAGAAGTTGTCAGTGATAACCCAGCGATATCCCCTAATCACACCAGCTGTTCCAACGAACACAGAAAAATACACAGGAACTCAAATTCAGCTTGGCGCTAAATGTGCTTTCTAGTCTAGTTCTTTACAACTGGCACCGTAGAAAAGGGAATACTGGGGCTCCCGGCACCTGAGTGGGAGCTCCCCCACCCCTGTGCTTGTTCCCCAAACCCCAATGTGAGAGCATTTAATAGAGGAGGGAAAAGGGTGACCACAGTGCTGGGCCATGGAAGGGAACCACCCCACCCCCACCAACCCGCAGCTTGGCCCTCAGCACGCGCCCCCCCCCCACCCCACCTGAGCTGGGACGGATTATGGCAGCACTGACTGTAACGGCAGTTTGTCCAGCGTGGCCTGGTGTTCGCTGGTGGGGTGACAAGCAGCAACACAGAGCACTGTGCAGCTCAGACTCACCCCACAGCGTGGCCAGGGCCAGCTCCGCTGGGCCTTTATCCCAAGGCCCTCCCGCCAAAGGCTTTTAACTCACGCGCTGAGTAGTCAGGGAGGCAGCTGGCCGTGAAATACACTTGAATTCAGCCAATCTTTTAGAGGGTTTTCAATAACAACAGAAAATGGCCCTTAAAGAATGAAACAGAAATGCTCCTCTGTCCAGAGGGAAATCCCGGAGACATGGACCTAACACGGTCCATTTTGAAGCAGTGACTGAAGGGAATCCATAGCTAATAACCTAACAAAAGAGCTTTGCATTGCGCATTAAAATAGCAGCAGAGGGCCCTCCCCGGTGACGGTGACGGTGACGCAATGGGTTAGGACGCAGCACTGCAGGCTGGCCGCAGCCGCTCAGTTCGAGTTCGATCCCCACCCAGGAGATGACCCCCATGGTGCGGCAGACCTCTCCTGGCCCACCTGCTGCTCCCCTCAGCAGTGGACTTCATCAGTCAGCCTATGCTGCTCCCCACTCTGTCTCTGGTGAAGCCTCTCA